TTATACTGATTTCATAGACAATAATAACTTCAGTTTCAGAGTTTGCTGAATAATCTATAGAGAGAAAAGTATGAGCTGTAGAAAAGGACTGGTGCTTGTTTGTTTATTCTTCTACTTGGGTTTAAGTTGCATTGGATTTTGTTGTGTGTGTTAAATGTATTGTATTTGGTTTGGAAATGCTAATATGTAATTGAACATGAATAACATAATGATTTGTACTAGAAGTGTGTGTGTTTACTTGACTGCACCTTGCCAGTTTGCTAAAGTTGTAGCAAGGCTATCATCCCCCAGTTATGTCTAATACTATGTACTTGTTAAATTATTTATCAGCTTTAAGTTATGTCTAATAATATGTACTTGTTAAACTATTTATCAATTTCCAGTTATGTCTAATACTAGTATGTACTTGTTAAATTATTTACCAGCTTCCAGTTATATCCAGTAGTATGTACTTGTTAAACTATTTATCAACCTCCAGTTATGTCCAATAGTATGTACTTATTAAATCATTTATCATCATCCAGTTATGTCCAGTAGTATTTAAATTATTTATCATCCTCTGGTTATGTCCAGTATGTACTTGTTAAATCATTTATCAGCTTCCAGTTATGTCTAATACTAGTATGTATTTGTTAAATCATTTATCAACCTCCAGTTATGTCCAGTATGTACTTATTAAATCATTTATCTGCTTCCAGTTATATCCAGTAGTATGTACTTGTTAAATTATTTATCAGCTTCCAGTTATGTGTAGAATTAGATATCTATCAAGTTATAAGCTTTCTTTTATGTGGAATAGTAAATATCATTTAAATACTTTCCAGCTTCTAATTTATATGCAGAAGTAAATTTCTTGTTTCTCAGTTGATATTATTATAAATGATAGTAATTAATACACCCTCCAAGCTTTGCTGATTACAATTACAGGAGATATTGAAATGTACTGCAAGCAAGAACTTTGTGGTTGATAATAGGAGTTTTATTGATCAAAGAGGAACAGTCTTCAATACTTTATTAATATGATACAAATTAGTGAATTTTGATTTCTAACATTTTCAACATATTGGTTTGGAATGAAGAATTTTTTTTTAATTAAACAAATTTACCAGTTTCATGAAACTGTTTGTGTTCGAAATACATAATATATATATATACCTTAGTGTATTCTCTGTAATTAAAATTTAAGTTTCCATGCAAGATTTACACCAAAGAACAAGTTATTTTGTAATATTGTATAAATATTTGCCATGCAAATAATGCACAGTAAATACGGTGTTATACATTATTTACTTTCATATGTTTAATGTAAACACTATAAAATTTCTTTTACATCAAACTGACACAGGTACATATTAATTTTGCCATTTTTTTTCTTCAGTTTTTATATTTCAGACCTTTTACTGTAGTTTTTCGGGTTTTGAAATAATAATTCATATGTGTTGTGAATTTTTAAGTGTAACTTTACTTTTGAAGGAAAGATAATTCTGAAAGATACATTTTTCGTTTGGGTAAATAAGTGTAGGATTTATTTTCGGAATGTTATGTTGGCTCAGACTTGGTGTGCTTACTTGTCAATGAATACACTGTGAGTTTGAATTCGAAAAGTTTTGATACAACGTAGCTGTATTCTTTAATGTTATATTTTGTAACTTGCAAAGTTGCATGAAACTTGTACTTAAGGTCATGTAATTTTATTATTATCTGATGTTTGACATCAAATATGATCTGTAATTGTATTTTCAAAGCAACTTTGTGATATCTAGATAATCTGGAGTAGTGTTGTTATTTTTGTTAAATTATTGTTCTACAACTTGAGAAGTAATGCAAAGACTAACATCAGTAGTATATTATGATAGCAAAGACTAACATCAGTAGTATATTATGATAGCAAAGACTAATATCAGTAGTATATTATGATAGCAAAGACTAACATCAGTAGTATATTATGATAGCAAAGACTAACATCAGTAGTATACTATGACAGCAAAGACTAACATCAGTAGTATATTATGATAGCAAAGACTAACATCAGTAGTATACTATGACAGCAAAGACTAACATCAGTAGTATACTGTGACAGCAAAGACTCGCATCAATAGTATAGTATGACAGCAAAGACTAACATCAATAATATACTGTGACAGCAGAGACACTTCCAAGGTATACTATATATGACAACAACAACTATCGTTAGAAGTGTAGCATGATAGAAAACACTTGCATCAATGGTACATTATGACAGCTAAGACTTGCATTAATGGTATACTAAAACAGGAAGGGCTCATGTGAATGGTATTCTACAACAGTAAGTAATTAAAGAGCAAAATTTCTCTTTTTGTGAAAATATTCTTAAATATAGATCATTATGATTTTTCTCTCTATCTCTGACACATTTCTTCAAACATTCACTGCTGTCTCCTGTTCATAGTGGTACTGTAACACTACTGTATCACTATCATGTAGAGTGCATATTCTCATAACTGGTTGTTGTTTTTAACACTTTGGGTATTGTAAACATTATTTTCTCAATATCATATCTGCTAAAACTAGAGTTTTATGTTTGTTTGTACAAGGTCTAAAGATGGATAATGTTTTATTCAGTTGTGTTTTTGGACCATTCAGAATTCAAATTTCTGATGGCATTTAGTCGACTGCACTTAAATTCTTTGTTTGGGTTTACAGTAAGTTTGTATGGTAACTGAGTGAGCTACTAATAAAGAAGATTGGATTGTGTCTTATGTATTGTAACCATGTCTTTTACAGATTTGTACAGACACTTACTGATAAATTGGCATGATAATGTATTAACAGTTGATGTAGTTGTCTGTAGTGGCATCATTTTCAGCAGTGTTAATAATCCACATTCTGGATATTTCTTACAAAACATTATGGGTTATCAGTATAGGAGTTGAAAAGTCTTTATCAATAATCAGGATGATTTTGATGATAAAATATTTTAGTTAATAATTCCTACCCTAGTGCCAACCACACTTTTTGTTTTTACTTAACCCAGGTGCCTAATATATATATATGGGTAACTATACCATGTTTAGTTAACTCATTGAAGCCACTTGTGATATGTGACCCACCTGTGTGTCAAACGGCCCATAATTAAAATTTGGTTGTGACCTACTGGTGGGGTACATGACAGCGAACTTAATAATGAAGCCCATGCCACAGGTAATTGGGTTTTCATTAAATAAATGTGATGGTTATTTTAAGTACATTCCTGTTAGTAACCTATTAGGTGGAAACACACACAACTTTGTTTTTTAATGTCAGGAACTCTTCCAAC